AATAGATAGTATGGTGGTACAGTGTATTTTCATTTTTCTGCCATCATTCTTCATATGTATATGTCGACTTTTCAGTTGATTATGTTGACTTGTCGGTTATTTATGTTAACTTGTCAGATACTAGTAGATATGTCTCCGATAAAAACATCACAACCAGGAACTGTGTCTTGTTTTTTCAGCATGCTATCATACCTGCGAAGTCGACATTATTTACTGACAAGTCGGCTTGTGAGATGTTATGCAGACTTGTCAGAAAATGATGCTTACCTGTCAGATATTTGTGTTGACTTGACTTGATACTTAGATCGACTTGCCATAAAAATAGCAAGGATTTTATTTTGGCATTATAAGCGAGGGTGCAGAGATCGCTAAAATTAAATATCCCAAAAAATTATTTGGGTTTTATTTGTTATAACTTCTTAAGTGAGCATTTTCAAATAGCTAAAATTACTTCTCGCTAAAAATAAAATACCAATTTTTAAGGACAAATCGCTAAATTTGCGTCTCGCTAAAATTTCCGCTCATACAGTATGTTGATGACCTGAATGGGCATGGTATGGGCGCATTTTCATTTTGAATTTTTAAACACGTAAATAAGTGACAAATTATCAAAAAGATCTGACAAGTGGACATATTTATCTGGCATGACAACAAAAAGATCTGAAAAGTCAATATATTTATCTGAAAAGTGGGGCAGAAATATGTCACCATAAGATGTACTCACATACGAAGAATCGGCTCAATATCCTCAAGCATTGATTTAGGGGGAAGTGCGGAAAACAAAGTAGGGTAGACTGCATGACAAGCAAACAGAAAGACGAATAAGGAGAAACCTTATAGATCCCTACTGGACAAATAAGTTGCGGATAAAGTTTTACTGTATCCATCTTTTTACCCATTTTTCATTTAACCTTTATCTTGTATCATCTGATTTGATGATATGAATGACATATACCGGGTATTTCAATAGTTGCTGAGGGTGTTACGAAGGAGGACACCTATAGCAAACTCGGTAAAACTAGGAGAGTATTTAGAGAGATAAATATCATTTGGAGGTCTGCACAGTACAGCACCAAGCTGTATTGTATCAACTCTCCTATAAGGATAGGAATGCTGGAGAATAACAAACATATCTTAGCAAATCACGATCCTTCCATACCATATGTCTCCGTCAAGTACACTGTACTAGGGTATTCATATCCCGGCCCGAGAAGGTCATATGTACAAATGAAAACCTGTTGAGCCGATGAATGTACCATCATTACCAAACACAGATGAAGATGGATATGGCGTTTTTCACAAAAAAGACCATCTTTCAGCAACAAGAACAGCACTGCATTGGACTCAAAGCAAAAAAGGAGAGGGAGGCCAAGACCATCTTGGAGAAGGACGGTGAAAAATAAGATGAAAGCCATGCACTAAACATGGGAATCAACTAGGCTGGACTAGAATAGACAAAAGTGTGGAAGCCTGTCTTACATACCGCAGAGTGTGAAGGACGATGATGATGAAAAGTAACTCTAAGGCAAACTCATCTGTTTAAAGAATATTAAAACAACAACAAAAGTAACATGCATGTACTATGTACAAATAATTTAAAAATATGAATGAGTTATATAAAGTCAATAAAAATGCTCTCAAAAATTATAATAGTAATGGTAAGTCTTTAAAAGAACAGAGGCAAATAAAACTTTGTCATATAAGGAAATACTAGTAAATCACATCCGCTAAACATGCAGCAAATGTCTTCTTTAACAATGTCTATGCAAAGTCACACATAGCACCTGGTAATACGCAGTGCATAAATAGGACTTAGCACATGCATCGGCACTTTAAAACACACTTTATACATGTAGCTGAGCACATATAGGTCCATGAAAGATGTGTTGTACTAAATACAAGCACAGTCACTGCATGGTGCTATGGCTGTGGCGTTAGCATTGAGATTGTAATTTTAATAGCACTATCTATAGTCAGGCATTTGGGTCCACGAAAAGTGTGTGGTACACAAAATACAGATACAGTCAGTGCACGGTACTGTGAATGTTGTGGCAGTCAATGTGTTTCAGATTCTTGCAAACAATTTGCCCCATACCTGCAAGAAATAAGAAAATTGTATAATTGTATTAATATTTTCAGAATATGCATACGGTCTAGCATATTTATCAAACATTACAGGTCGAGAAAAAGGAGCATAAAGCATCTAAGGGCTGGGGGATTAGTTGTTATGATCTTATTTTGTTTCTGGAGAAAAACACGATGTATGAAATTTAACACTTTCATGAAGAGACATGAATGGATAGTCTGTTCCTGCCATGAAAACAACGAAAGAGAAAAAACACAAAAATTAAAGAGTTTCAAATACGGTATGTAATGTAATTTTCTGTTCAAGACTTACAGGGTAGCAGAAATTAAGGCAAAGACTTGCAGAAAGTATAAGGCTTTTTAATCACATTTAAGATACAGGTTTCCGGTGGATTAACTCACCAAAATCATCCTCCACTTTAGTAGACGTAAAAAGAGGAATTCAAGTCTTGTTTCTTGGAGACTTTATGGCGTCTGTTTTCTGGTACGTTGCGGCGCATGGGTCTGTGTTCAAAATTCACTCTAGCCAACCATTCCATCTTTAAGAGAAAAACATCGTAAATTACAGCCAAAAGTTAATTACAAGACAAAGGATATAAAAGGTTTCTCTCCAAACTTTATACATATTAATGATTACAAAGTATGTATTAGGTTCGAACAATGTTGAGTGCGGTACGTACCTGGTGCGTAGGTTGAGGTATGGTGGGTAACTCCCTACGCTCCTCAGACTTGTTGATGGCATGGGTCAACTCATACTAATAAAAAAAATTGAAATATTGTACTTTTCTGATAAAACAGCGGACCAATTTATAAGACCCACAGAAAAATAATTACATCGTATCTATAAATGTTCTAAATGAGTTTTCACACAACTCAGACTCTTACCCAGTCTTTAATGTGCTCTTTCCATTCATGAGCAGCAGAAGTAAAGACTTGTTTGCACTGGAGAGGAAGGATAGAAAAATATAGAGAGTATCGCTGGAGAGAGAGAGACAGAGGCTATAGATACTTTTGTATCTACCGAAAGGAGAACTTACAGCTGATTTGGCTGCCAGAGCAAGCATCACCTCGTACCACTGACGACTGTCATCTGAAGAGACATCTATACGGCGCTAAAATGAAAATAAGGAAAGTCATTTATTACAAAAATGAAATTATACATTTGTATATGTGAAATTTTGCTTTTCTTAACTGCACTGCCAGATGAATACTAGTATACATAATTATTAAATAGTATACTGTACATCAGATTTATATTATTAATTTTATAGTTTAGGTTGAAAACATTATTTTTACTTTATTTCAAGGTAATCGGATTACACTGTATATCAATTTGAATTGCAAATAAAATATTTCTTGTATCTTGTTATATTCGTACATATTTACTTCTGTGTGTTGAAAACTGACTTTCATATTGTTTGTGGTTACCGTATTTGCTCGCCTATAAGTCGATTGTATTTTTTGTATTTATTTTGGAGGGATTTGCCATTCACTTATTATCCAATGTTTTAACCTGGTTTCAATCGATATTTTCTTTCTAAGTGACGCCGACATTTAATCTTAATTAAATAAAAAAAATTAGTAACGCTCACTTTACATAAAAAAAAACCAAATAAAAATAAATAATTGTACTTTATGCATAATCTTATAATATAAAAATGCTTTGATCAATGATAATCGGCGGGATTATTTGTAAAATAATACCTTTTCGTCGATCGTCCAGAAAAACAATATCAGTATGGTCAAAATGACAGATATTACTAGTATCGCAATTTGATGTTTTTGAAAGGTTTGGACCGGTATCATGGGTATTTTTTTCGACAGTGAAACTTTTAAATAAGTAAGTACCGGTACATGTTTATACTAGTTTAATATTATAAAATAATATTTAAAAAGCAATTTAGGAATTTATGATCTAAATCAAATAGGACACTGTAATTAATCGCACCCCCCCCTATTTTTTTTAAATTGTCAATGGGGGACAACTAAAGCTCGGTCGTCATAGAGTGCCCTCCCCTATGTTTATTTATTGATTTTCGGAAAGCTTGAACAAGTCAACAAACTTTTTCTCAACATATTATAGGCCTACCGTATGATGTAAGTATGCATTCAAATTAATGTGATCCAAATTAAGTTTAGCAGAAAAAGCAGGCTATTTTGAAAAAAAATAAAACGAAAATTAAAAGATTTGTGTAAGAGCTACCGCATTTCCTCTGTTTTGAGTTTTTGTTAAGTTCTATAGCTTTAATCAAATTAATGTAAGGGTTTAGGGTAATGTTTTACAGTATTCCCTACCCCAACCCCCACACTGATATTACGCCTTCCAGGTCCCTACATATCTATACCTATACACCCTTATATCTTTATCAACACCATAGGGCATTGATGTGTTTTATTTATATGATTTATGCTGTTTATACGTAAGATCTATTAAATTTGGATATTTTCTTCAAACTTTAGGCCTATCACTAAATTGTTTTGTTTTAAATGTCAAATTTGAGGAAATGTACAATGTATTAGTACATTGTGCTAGGTAGGCTTCCCTTCGACAACTTTGAAATTTTCGTAACCCCCTCCCCCCCCCCCCCATACAATCACATCAAAAGAAGCATTTAGGTCCAATAAAACTTTATTTCCTAAAGAATTACCCTCTTAGACACACTCTGGCTCTTTCTCTCGGAAGATCTTTGTCTTTTCATTGTGAAATATGTCGGTTTTATCGCTCTGTGAAAAGCACGTCTACTCTATACTGATCGAAGTGAGTAACTAACAACAGTAACCAAAACGCAACGCTACCTTGCAGTTACCAAGCATGACGTCATCGACAAGGACTTCACGTAAAGCTAGGTCCTAAATGCTGACTTAATAAAGTAAAATCATTGTTTGCTTACCTCTTGTGTGTTTTTAATCGTTTCAGTATTTTGGAAAAAATAAGTCTCTGTTTATCACCTTCATATTACAAAGTTGATTGAAATGTTACGTCATACGGCTGGAAGTATCATAAACTAGTTCCCGCCACAGTAACGTTTTTTTGGCGCCGGGTCAGTTAAATTTCATAACAAAAGTAAAAATTTAATTATCTTTACTCTACTAGTGAAAGTATTGCTCACCACTAGTCTCTTCGGGAGCTTATAGAAATAAAACCTGAATTTTTGCAATTTATACATCTTTTAAATTAAGAACTTCAGTCTACTTTAACGTAACAAATCTACACATTATTTGAAATATCGCTGTAAAAATTTGTTATGTAAAATTTGTTATTAGGTTTTTTTGTCCTAGGATTTCTTATATTTATTAAATTTTATCAATTTTTGTGAAAAAAGTTACTTTAATAAGAATAAATAAGTTTTATTGAACTATGATGCGCGAAATATGGCGCAATGAAAACCACAGTCGGCCCCCTTAAATGAAAATTGGGCCGTTGGAAGCAATTTCCGTTTGGTGGGAACCAAACATTTTTAGTTTAGGAAGGGGATGGGTGGGCAATGCCAAGTAAAGTTTTCAAAAAGAAAAAAAAATATTGCGGAGACACGAGCATAAAGTAAAGAAGCTATGTTTTTTTTATAGTATCAGCTCACAAAAGTAGTGATTTAGTGCGCAAAAGGAATTCAAATTTTACGTCATAGTAGTATTGCAAAATTCAGATCAAGGTAATAGTATTTCAGTATTCATAAATAAACTTATAATCGGTATGTTTTGTTTGATTGCAAACAGTTTAAAACGTTAACAAACTCAGGGATACGTTCCAACTTAATATTCTTTTACCACGACCAGATTATACCGGTATTCATACATTCCACATTACCCTAAGTTGATTAATCTAACCGCAACAAAACAGGCGCATGTGCGTGTTTCGGGGGTGGGATGGGGTAAATAAATCAGAAATCAACAAAAAGTTATGTTGGGAAAAGAGTGGTGGAAGTTGGACCCCCCCCCCCCGGCCCTCTCCATTTTGATACTACGTCAAGCCTGTTTCTATTTTTAATTTTTTTTTTATCTATTATGATTGTCTCTGCTGTAGAGTAAAACGGATGCTCTGGCATACAAAATGCAAACACATACATGGAGAATCAGATTGTTGAACAAGTAGAAATGTCACTGGTTGAGAGAGAGAGGAGAGAGAGAGACATCCGGATCCACCCCTTAAACCTATCACCGCCATCCCACCACGGATTTGAACTCCAATTCATATCATTTATTCTTAATTGACAAAAATTTATAAAAAGCTGCTGGGTTTGCTCAAGACATTTGATTATTTAATTATTATAATCTTCTCAATTCGGAATCAGTTAGTTCAACCGTCAAAAACTTTCTGAGTTCAAGCGTCTGACAAACATCGAGCTAGCAAGTTCTCTTTCGATCCAAACAAAAACATTATCTGCATTGATTTAGGTAAATTCATAAATTCTGCAAATTGTGTTTTATTGGACATGGGCACCCTTTTGAAAAAATAGAGATAATATCCAAAACATATCATGTAAATACAGGTATTGCAAAATAAACGTATTTAAATATGAATAGGTGCACAGCGCTAAAAAATAATAGAGTTGTTTTGCGTTGCTAAGAAGGCGCACTTGCAAAGTTGAGTTTTCTTTTCATCATTTCTGTGTAGAGTAAGTGCAAAAAGGTATGCTATTTTCTAAAATACTGATTTTACGAAAATAACTCATGGGATTTTGCATTTTTATCATCAGTATAATGTTCATTATTCATTTAACTCGAAGTTTTAACGTTAATCACTTAATGATATAATGGAAATTTTTAAAACCAATGACTGTATCAAAATGAAATGTGTTATGAAAGAACTGGTATAAAAAATAAATTTATCATCATTTTAAATATTTATAATTATATGTCAATGAGTAAATTACAATATAATATAGCTAGAGGTGGCATAATAGTCAACAGATTGACGGAGACCACGTACTGGTAGAAGAGGATGCTGTGGTTATTGATCTTTTGGGGGGGGGGCACAGAGGTTGAGCTAGGGATCTATCATTTCTCCATTGTAACAGCAAATTTTACAAAAAATCTCTTTCATAGATTAAAAATAAAAGGATTTAATAAAACACAATTGAAAATCTGTGTGTTTTGAACATGTAGTCAAAAACCCAAAAACTAATTTTGCCATAATGGTCCACTTGGTCCTCTTTCATTTGACAAAAATATGAGTGAGCTGAATAAGGATACATGCTAAAGGCTGTAAACTATAGAAGGGTACCATACTATTGTAACTTTTTACTGCAGAGTCCCCCTGGTACGACGTATTGAAGGAAAGGCAAAAATTCCTATATTTAATACCTGACAGTGTGGTATTGTGTTGAGTTCTAATGCCTCATGAAAATCAAAAGGCAGTATGTTCTTTTTGTTCTACTTAAGTTGTAGTGAGTTCACTTGGACATTAAAGAGGGCAATACATCATAAGTAATCCCTGTGTTGTGAGAAATAATTTTTCAAATATGTTATATAAAGCTATGAAGAATATGTTGTACAGTAGTATAAATGAACAAGTTAATCAATTTTTAAACACATTTATAACATTTTTATTTTAACAGAAAGGAAACCTCAATAACTGGTGCACTAAAGAATTTTAAAAATGGCATACTATGGCGTGAGTTGATCTTAAATGCTTATAATTTGCATACTTTTCATACATGACTTGAAGAAAATAATTATACAATATGTAGCGTCATTGATATGCATGTATAACAAAAATATTAAGCATAATTCTTATCATAAAAGTGATCCAGTATTATGCAATGTAGTAAAATTTATTTTAGAGCTTTAGGCTGTCAAAATATATACGGCTTGGTTTTATTCTTAACACTGGTAAATGAATAAAAGGATTTTATTTAAAAAATTTTTTTTACTAAATAAACATCCTTCCTTGCTTTAAACTTTTTAAAATAATATAGAGTATATTTGTAAATTCTTCATCTGTTGTAGAGTAACTATCCACCCATGCAAAATCCGTATGGAGGTGGATACACGTCGTATGGATATGGAGCTAATCCGTACCAGCAAGCCCCAGCAGCAGGCTTTGGATTTGGTGGATTTGGAATGGTAAGATAGAGAGAAACAATAAAATTGATTAATTGTGAAAAAATATTAAAATTACTCAAGTTGCTGACATTGTATTGCCTGTAGTTGTGTACATAGTGATACATGTACATAGTGATACAGAAACATTTAACTTTATTAATTTATGTGAAATATTAAAACAAGTTGTTGTCCTTTAAAAAAAGGACTACAATACGTGGACCATATGCATGTGATTCTAGCCGAAATTCAATTAATTAAAGAAAATTTCTAAGTTTATTGGATATTCATGTAGTTTCGTTCACATTTTCTACAATGATCTGCCTACTTTGACTGTTTTGGACTATTTTGATACATATAATCCATAACGGTTGGGACTTTACATATACATGTACTAGTATTCTAGATTTGTTCAGAAAAGATCTATCATTGGGAAATTAGATCTGATGGTACACGTGTAGCACAGCTCTATTGTACGCAGATTTTGTTTTCTGTTTTTTGTTTTCTCCCATCCATCACATGGAAAACTGTTGCTACAGACTTGTATCAAACTGTATTTGGATTCCTGTATATCAGATTATTTTGCGAGCCTTGATGCACAAAACTAATGCTGTTGGAGACTTGTTCTATCTTTTAAAACCTAGAACCCGTCGTTGAATGAAGTTTTAAATTCAAGTTGTTAAGTTGTCTTATATAATATATACATGTACTGCAAGTTCTTCCTACTTTTTAGAATGCTTGTGCCATAGAATGAATGTTTAGTTATGTGTATACATTAGAAATTTGGAATCCATCAATGAACTCTCAATCGCATCATCTCGGGTCTTTCCGTCAGAGGTCGTAAAGCTAATCGGAAAAGCCGATTGGTGTAGCGGAATAAGCCGAGCATTGCCAATTGGAACTCTCTAGCATTCTCGCGCATGCGTAGCCTGGCGTATGCCGAGGGCATCCGGTTTAACCTCGTTTATATATTTACTGCATGGACCTCAGGGTCAACGCAATTACTTGCTGACATTGCATTACTTGTAGTTAGTACATAGTGATATCAGAATTGAGTTTCAGGGGAAGAGGGGATAGAGAGGAAAGTTAAATATCCTGAAAGGATATTTTCTGCTTTCTGCTTTGTTTTGCCATTGGTAGCAAACACCTGTATGTTACACACAATCTACATTCGCAATGGAAAAGTTAAACTCAGAAATTTTGTAGTAGAACAATTTCATTCATCTTCTGGAACATTTACTGCATTTCATTTATTGAATCAACTTTCAAATTTTCTTAAAAACTGCTTTGAACATAAGTGTCTTTCTAAGACTTTAAAGAAAGGTAAATCCACAAAGTTTAGCTATAGGGTTGCAAATTTTTTCTTAGCTGTAGTATTTTACCAATTGCAGTATGGTATACATAATATTGATAAATGATACAATTGAAGTAATGTGTTTAACTTGTACATTTTATTTAATCCTTCAGCAAATTAATATGCAGGTAAGAGGAATACATGTATAGAAACTTGAAATCTATTTCTCTTAATTTTCCTTTTCCTAAAAAAAGGGTTATATATGGGTTACCTCATTGCTTTAGACAAAATACAAGTGTATATGTGTTGTGTTTTTCAATCTTTTTTTTTTTTTTTACTTTTATTAACTATATTCTCTATTTTTTTT